TCTGATATCTCTAATGACTTACCCATTGCTTCTACTTCTGATGACTTACCTATTGCTCTTAGAAAAAGAAAAAGATCTTGTCACAAGAAAACTTGTTCCTCATGTCCATCTTGTACTCAATACCCTATCTCCCACTTTGTTTCCTCTGCTAATCTTTCTGTGCAGCACAAAAGCTTTGTTTCAGCACTAGATTCTATTGCAATCCCAAAATCAGTACATGAAGCCTTGAAAGATAGGAATTGGGCTCAAGCCATGCAAGAGGAGATGAATGCTTTGGAGAAAAATAAAACATGGGAGGTTATTGATAGACCCAACGGAAAGAAAGCAGTAGGGTGCAGATGGGTTTATGCCCTGAAATATAATTCTGATGGCACTCTTGAGAGATATAAGGCTCGATTAGTGGCCAAAGGTTACACTCAAACCTATGGCATTGATTATGAAGAAACCTTTGCTCCAGTTGCAAAGATGAATACAGTGAGAATCTTGTTATCCCTTGCTGCCCATTACAATTGGGATATAAATCAATTTGATGTGAAAAATGCTTTCCTCAATGGTGAGTTAGAAGAAGAAGTCTACATGGAAATCCCGCCTGGTTTTGATTCTGTGAAGGGGGAAAATAAAGTTTGTAGATTAAAAAAGGCCTTGTATGGATTGAAGCAGTCACCTCGTGCTTGGTTTGGAAGATTTACTAAGGTTATGATGACCTTAGGATACAGACAGAGCCAAGGAGATCACACTCTTTTCTTCAAGCACTCCCAAAATGGGAAGCTTACTGTGCTCCTTGTATATGTTGATGATATTATTATCACAGGTGATGATTTTGTGGAAAGACAGATTCTGCAAACACGGCTTGCCTCTGAGTTTGAAATCAAAGACCTTGGGAAACTGAGATATTTCCTAGGGATAGAAGTAGCTCATTCAAGCAAAGGAATTTTTATCAGCCAAAGGAAATATGTTCTTGATCTTCTCAAAGAAGCAGGAAAGCTCGGCTGTAAACCCTTTAATACTTCTATTGAGCAGAATCACAAGATGGGCTATGAAGAAGAGAGTCCTCCAGTTGATAAAGGACAATATCAACGACTAGTTGGGAAATTGATATATCTGGCCCATACTAGACCAGACCTAGCTTATGCTGTTAGTGTTGTCAGTCAGTTTATGCACGATTCAAAAGAAAAACACATGCAGGCAGTAGAGAGAATTCTTCAGTATCTTAAAGGTACTCCTGGTAAAGGATTGTTATTCCGACGTGATGGCAATCTATCTTTAGAAGTCTACACAGATGCTGATTATGCTGGATCTGTGACTGACCGTCGTTCTACCACTGGTTATTGCATGTTTCTTTGCGGTAACTTGGTGACATGGAGAAGAAAGAAACAAGATGTGGTTGCCAGATCAAGTGCAGAAGCTGAATTTCGAGCTATGGCTCAAGGCATTTGCGAGTTACTGTGGCTGAAAATTGTTCTTGATGATCTCAAAATAAAATGTGAGGGACCTATGAAGCTGCTATGTGATAATAAGTCCGCTATTTGTATAGCTCATAATCCAGTTCAACATAATCGGACTAAACATATTGAGGTTGACCGCCATTTCATCAAAGAGAAACTTGATAGCGGGTTGATTACCACTCCATACATTCCCACTGGGCGTCAATTAGCTGATCTATTAACAAAGGGGCTTCCTTCAGACAGATTTCAAGAACTTACTAGCAAGCTGGGAATGATAAATATCTATTCCTCAGCTTGAGGGGGAGTGTTGTAAATAATATTGATTTAGTTATTATTTAGTTTTTATTTAGTCATTTATTGTTGTATTGGGCCAAGCCCTTTGTTGTATTGGGCCAAGCCCATTAGGTTAAAAGTAGGTCAAATATTCTCTATAAATAGAGAACCCTCTGTACAGATTATTTACAATTCTATAATATATTAGAATACCCTTTTTCAAGTTAATCTTTCTTTAAATTGATCTTGTTTCACTGATGTAAAACGAAAATTAGTTTGAGAGTTTTATGTTATTTTAAATACAAAGTTCATACCTTTTTGTGCCAACAAAAATCGCGACCCATAATTTGAAAAATCATTTTTTAAACTTTCAAAAGCTCTCAAAAATATGCTGTTTTTGAGATGGATTATATTAGAATGTTGTTGGTTTGTTTTTCTAGGTTGTTTTGTGATGAAAATCGCTCGAAAATAGGTTATTATTTAGCTTTGACGAAGCTCCCATGGTGGAACCTAGTTTTAAGCAGGTCAACCCATCAAAGGAAAAATAAAACACTGCAATAGAGAAATCTCAAGAAATCCTAAGGGTTATGGTGAGATTGTGAGAGAGGCATTTTGTTTATATTTCTCACTAAAAAGTCTCACGAAATCCATGCCAATAGAAAATACATTAAAATCGTTAGATTTTTGAGTACCACAAAATTGGTTTTTCTTTGTTTAAAACCCTGATTGAATATCAACGGATTTAGATGGACTCTAAAATAATCTTTTAAAATCCTAATTGAATACCACGAGACTTTTTTTCAGTCCTTTAAAATCCTAATCGAATACCAATGGATTTGTTTGTCTGAAAACAATCCATTAAACTCCTTTGAAATTCCAATCCAATACACCTCCCTAAGATTTTAAAAGACTTTTTGAGATAAAAATCTTATAGATTTTAAAAGACTATATAAAATTATAGTGACTTTAAAGATTTTTTTAAAAGACTTTTTTTACAATCAAGATTTTATAAGATTGAATTTTAAAGGAATTTTAATAGAACTTATAAGATTTGAAAGGACAATATAGATTTATAAGATTTTAAAAAATCAAATGAATTTTAAAAAAATCTTCAAAATTACAAGGAGTCAATAAAAAAATAACAAAGAAATACAATGATAATAATAATAAAAGTAAAACCTAATATAATTTTTTTAATTAATAATTTGATTTAACTTGATGTCTTACTAAGCAGCAACTCTCCACATATCTATATTAGTCCTCTACGCATTAGTATCTTCTCGTTCCTGCTTTTGGGTTTGACCAGCTCTTGGGTTTGACCAATGGGTTGAAAGTTATCTTTTTCATTTGGTATTAGAGCTATATATGCATATATGATTATAAGACCCACAATTTTTTTATTTATTAAAATGATTCAAAATTTGCATATAGAACCTAAAGTTCATAATAAAATTTCGTTTGGAATTTTTAGCTATTGATCTTGGAAACCTTGGGATTTTATTCTACGTGATGAGAGTTTTCTAACCATATATCATATACATGTTTTCATTGAGTATTCTAAGAAAATTTCGAATCTAAATTTCTAGGTTTTATTACATGAAAGTTTAGAATTTTCTCAGATTATTTTCAATTGATACATTGAAACCTTAAATTGCTTTGAGTCTTTTGAAAAAAAAGTTTTTAGTGATCTATTGACACAAAAATTGTTTAAAATCATTTCCTATAGCGAATGAATTTCGTTCATGAATGTATTGTTACGAAACATAGGGTTCATATTATGAAAGTTTTAATCTTTCTTTAAATCGATCTCGTTTCATTGATTTAAAACGAAAAATGGTTTGGGGAATTTTTGTTCTATCGTTTTCCCATTGTTTATGTATTTTTTAATACAAAAATCACATCTTCTAAAAAATCGCTCAAAAATCTGTTATTTTTGAGATGAATTAGATTATAATCTTGCTGGGTTGTTATTTCTAGATTATTACTTGATGAAAATGACTAAAAAATTTGTTATTTTTGAGCTTTGACGAAGATCGTATGGCAGAACTCAATTTTGAGCGAGTCGACCAACCAAAGAAAGAAGAGGTACCGTAATAGAGAAACATCAAGAAATCATAGGGGTTTTGATGAGATTGTGAGAGAAGCATTTTACTTATACTTCTCATTAAAAAGTCTCATGAAATTCACATCAATAAAAAATTCACAAAAATCATCAGATTTTGAATATCACAAGATTCTTTTTCTTTTGTTTAGAATCATGATTGAATACCATCGGATTTGGACGGACTCTAAAATAATCTTTTAAAATTTTAATCAAATATGACATGATTTTTTTTAATCCTTTAAAATCCTAATTAAATACCAATAAAAAATTTTGTGCAAAAATATTCGATTAAAATCATTTAAAATTACAATCCATCCCTTAAGAGTAATCATTCAGTCCCTCTGAAATATATGTGTATGATCTCACGGTTAATGATAACAAAAAATTTTCTAATCAATTTTCTCAGAGAGTACAGAACATCATAAACTAATTCTCTATCAATATGGAATTTAATTTAAGTTTTATTTTCTAATTTTGTATTATCAAAAGTAAAAAAAAAAAATCACTCGATAATTCTAAACAAAGTACGGAAACACGGAACAGTGATCAAAGTGTCACTCTTGGCAAAAAAATTACCAAACTGCTACGTCAACAGTAAATTTTGTCAAAATGTCATGTGGCATATTTCGCTATACTGTGTAGCGAAATATGTGTGCAAATAATTCGTTACACAGTGTAGTGAAATATGTCACGTTAGAATGCACAAAACAAAAAATGCCACGTGTCAAACAAAGTGAAATTTGCTACACTGTGTAGCGAATTTCACCTTGTTTGACACGTGGTATTCTTTATTCTGACGTGGTATATTTGGCTACACTGTGTAGCGAATTATTTGCACACATATTTCATTGCACAAAATTTTTTAACAAAATTTACTTGTTAACTAACAATTTGGTAATTTTTTTTAACAAGAGTGACAAAATGTTTAGTGTTCCACGGAGACACCATAGCATATAGCTTCAGAAGATTGAGTGTCAAGCAAGATACACAGACAAAAATGGAAAGGAAGATCTGTGGGGTGGGGCCCATGAATCACACAGAATAATGAGGGAGACGTGAAGGCCACTCTTTCGATTTCGATCAACGATTCAACATACCATCATGGGCCGTTGGGCTCACTTTCTTATACAATAAAACAGAGAAACCTATACAGAAGAAGAAGGAGGAGGAGGAAAGGGTTGAGGAGAGGAATCCAATTAATTCAAGTGAAGATGTCGTGGCAAACCTACGTGGATGACCACCTCATGTGCGATATCGACGGCCAGGGCCACACCCTCGCCGCCGCCGCTATCATCGGCCACGACGGCAGCGTTTGGGCCGAGAGCTCCAACTTCCCTCAGGTTAGTTGCCAAACAGTTATTTAGTTATTTAGGGTGCTGTGCTGTGCTGTGCTTCCTAGTTAAAACATTTTAAATTTAAAACAAATATATATATATATATATATATATATATATATATATATATAATTTGAATGATTTGGATCTATCTATCTATGTAACATTGTTTTGATGCAGTTTAAGGGTCAAGAAATTGAAGGTATTATGAAAGATTTTGATGAACCAGGAACCCTTGCCCCAACGGGGTTATACCTTGGTGGTACCAAGTACATGGTCATCCAAGGAGAATCTGGAGCTGTTATCCGCGGCAAGAAGGTTTTTCTTTTTTTTTTAATGTTTCTTTTACCTTAACTAATTAACACATCATGGTCAGGTCATGTGGTAGTTATGAATAAAACATGTTGAATGTTCCAATGTGCAGGGTGCAGGGGGGATCACTATTAAGAAAACAAATCAAGCTTTGGTTATTGGTATCTATGAGGAACCTGTGGCCCCAGGACAGTGTAACATGATTGTTGAGACGTTGGGAGATTATTTGATTGACCAGGGCTTGTAGATCTTATCTCAGTTTTTTTTTTATTATTATTACAGTTTCGGGCTTGCATCTTCTTTGAAATGGCACTCAAGTTTTTTTCTGTTAGAAAAAAAGGAACCATAAAAGTCATGTTTCATGCCTTGGGATTTTATTTTATTTGTTTTTGTGGGATCATGCCTTAGGTTTGTTTCTCTCTAGTTTATTTAAATTCACTTTTATTTTGGCCTGTGATTTGATTGTTCCCCTTCCAAAAGAAGTGTTCAATGTGTCTGTTGGTTTTTCTAATAGTGGTATTTTTTTTTTAGTTGTATACTGGATTGCCATTTTCTTAATTCTTTTTACCGTTTAATGGCCTTTCCTCCTCCTTTTGGAGTTCAAAGATTTCACTGTTTCTTGGCACTTTTATGAAATATCAAAAAGATGGATACATAATACATGGGTCGGCCTTGTGTTGAGCAAACTGAACAAGCAAGTGATCAGTAAAGAGTGCACACATTCGCTTTCTTAGTTAATATTTGAAATTTATTTATTAAAATCGTAGTTATTAATATCACACGATATATGATACGATTATTTCAATATGAATGATTCACGAGTACAACGATATGTATCGTGTGGTGTATTAGAAAGAAATTTGTATAGGATGATACGGTATAGTTGTTGGATATATGCTCTTTTGGTCACTAAAGTCCTACTGGGCTTCAGTGACACTTGAGCCCATGAGGCTTAGGGTTGAGTTATGTCTAAGACCTAAGGTATATATTCATAGTTTTCTCCTCTTGTGCCTCCAAGGTGAACAGATCATCAGAAACAAACCCAAGAGGCAGACGTTCATCATCTGAACGGTTGCCCACACAACCATCTCATCCTCCTTGAGAGATAGTCTGGAAGATCGATCATAGAGGGAACAACTATTGTTCGTGGTCACACAACTACGCCCTTCCAGGTAATCAAAACGATGAAGGTTAATCTTTTCCCTCGTCGTGTCGGTTCGATGCGCTTCCGCGTTTCTGATGATATACCTACAATTGGTATCAGAGCCGGATCGCGATGAGGAAAAGAACCAGTTTTGAAATAAATTCATGTGATTGTTTTTGAAAATTATTTTTTGAAAATATGGCATCTTTTTCTATATTTGTTATTTATTTCATGGTGATCATTCGTTTATAATTCTTATTCGATATTGCTTTTAATTTTAATCGGTTAATCGCTTTAATCCATGGTTAGATTCTCTCGTGTATTTCTTGATTTGTAACAAGGAGGCTAATCCCATATGATTAGGATTCCTCCTTGCTGTTTTTTTTTTTTTTTTTTTTGGAATTTCTATGTATTTTTCGAATTTCTGTAAAAATTGGAGATCAAGAAATTGTGAAGAACATGAGGATTCAACACTGTCCGAGACTTTTCGTGGACCTATGGACCTCGGAATTGGACGATCCATATATGGTTGGAAAGAGGACGGAAAGACGATTAAAATGACGGGTGGATCGCCGCCGTTAGAGCCCCCCACGAGCCGCCACGCGCCACCTCAAGTGGCTGAGAGTGGGCTTCACTCTCTGGGAGAGATACGGCGCGTGGGGGCGCGTGCCACACCCTTTTTGGGTGGTTCCGGCGGTCGTGTTCTCGTCTCCCCGTGGCGGTCCTTCCCCTGGATTTTCGTGTTGGCTAGGGTTCCTTTTTTGTCTCCTAGGGTTTCTAGCAAAGGATTGGGTCTTTGGGCTTGTGGGCCCATAGATACCCTAAAGGGGCTTGAGACAGATACTAGGGGCTGGACAGAAAAGGAATTTCAAAGTTGTAATTTTATTTATTTATTGATTATTATAGGAAAGCCATGGATTAAAGTTATTTATTTATTATTTAATGCTTTAATTGAATGGTATGAATTATATGTGCGATTAAACATGATGTATGAAATAACATGTCATATAGAATAGGAAGATGCCATATTGTTGCATGATCACATGTCATTATTGCATAGTAGCTATTATGTCTTGAATCGACTAGTATGATAGTTAGTATGCGTGATTATTTAGATTGTCCATTGGATTAATTAATTATGGATTTAAAATCTAGATAAATAATCCAGTTAATTTCCTAAGAGAAAATTGTTTTTTGAGAAAATAAATTTTTGTGGGTTTTCTGAAATGGTCATGGAGTAACACGTGTTGACGCAAAGTGACCGGATTTCTGAAATCAAACAAATTTTTTTTTGAATTAAACATTTCTTGGAAATTAAAAATTCTAATTTTTAAAATATTGAATGGGTGAAGGTTTTAAATTAAATATTTAATTATAAAACCTATGGGCTCCAATTGTGGGTTTATTAGTGAAATGATTATCGCTGAAGCCTCATCGGATAAGGATAATCGGATTTCGCTAGATTAAACCTATCTTCAAAATTTTGGTAAAGTTTTGTACGGCCCATCGTCGGCAACACTTAGATACTAAAGATAATTTTGACAATAAACAATGGTTAAATACATTCAACTTTAATAAAATTGTTATCCCTCTCATCGAGGCTCTGGCAATGGAACTGAAGGCCCAAAATAACAATATTAGTTTTACAAGTATCTTGCCCATCGTAAGCCTTGTAAAGATAGCTAATGGATTGTTAAACAATAAACGAATAGTAGTTATTAGAATCTACTAGCGCTATATCTGTTTGTTGTTTTTTTTTCGAGTTTGTAAATAATGTGTGTAATTTTATTTTCAGAAAAATGTCTTCATTCAATCCTTTAGCTACTATTTTGAGTCAAAAACCAATGGATGGTACAAACTACAAACAATGGAAAACAAATCTGGATATTGTTCTTCAATATGAAAAGCTCAATTTTGTTCTGACCACCCCTATACCGGCGCAGCCTGCTGAAGATGCGCCTGAGGCAACAAAGGCCCAATTTCAGCAGGAGAAGGAGAAATGGGAGAAGGCAAATGTGGCAGTTCGCTGTTACATTTTAGCCAGTCTTGCCAATCACCTTCAGGAGCAGGTAAACATGGTTGAGAGTGGAGCAGCTATGCTCCAGACTCTTGATGGCATGTTTGCTACATCCAGCAGCTCTGCTAGGCAGATTGCGCTGAATGCTGTCACTAAGACAGTAATGTCTGGAGGAAGTGTGCGGGATCATTGTTTGTCAATGATTGCAAACTTCAAGAAGGCTGAGGATCATGGGGTCAAGTTTGAACAAGAAGTAAAAGTTGACCTTCTCTTGCAATCATTGCCTGAATACTTCACTCAATTCAAGATGAATTATAATATGAATAAGATGAATCTTAATCTTACTCAACTGATGCACGAGCTTGAGAGTGCTGAACAGTCTCTAGTCAAGCAGGGCAGTGCATTTTATGCTGGTGAAAGTTCTGTGAAACCTAAGGGGAAACCCAAGGGGAAGAACAAGAACAAGAAAAAGAAGAAATCAGGTATTCCAGTTGCCAAACCAGTTGCAATGAAGCAACCGAAAGGTAAGTGCTTCAAGTGCGGACAAAAGGGGCATTGGAAGAAAAATTGCCCACGCATGAATCAGCCAGGTATGGGTAATTTACATGTGATTGAGGCTTGTTTAGTGGAGAATTACAATGATAAATGGATCATTGATTCAGGAGCCACTAACCATGTTTGTTACTCTTTGCAGTGGTTCAAACATAGCTTGCCTTTAAGCGAAGGACAAAGAGTTTTGAAGCTTGGAAATGGGGAGCTTGTGTCTGCACTGGCAGTGGGACAAGTTATTTTATCTTTTAATAATTGCAGAACTTTGGTTTTAGAAGACTGTTTATTTATTCCGGATTTTAAGAGGAATTTAATTTCTGTTAGTTGTTTGATTAAACATGGTTTAACAGTTCAGTTTAATTCCTCAGTTTCAATAAGGAGTTCGTCTTCTTTTATTTGTTCTGGCGTAATGTTTAATGGTCTTTATTTCCTTAGTCCTGTACCCTGTGAAGTTTATCATGTTGAATTAAGAGATGTTGAGGATATCAACTCATCAAAGAAAAGAAAAGTTTCCAATGAAACTTATCTTTGGCATTTGAGGTTGGGTCACATTAACTCAAACAGGATACACGGTTTGGTTAAAAGTGGGATCTTAAAATCCCTGAACTTTGAACCAATACCAGTATGTGAATCTTGTTTAGAGGGTAAAATGACTAAGAGATCTTTCAAGGCCAAGGGAAATCGTGCCACACATCAGCTGGAATTGGTGCATACTGATGTATGTGGACCAATAAATGTCCAGGCCAGAGGCGGGTATCAGTATTTCATCACATTCACTGATGATTACTCTAGATTTGGACATGTGTACCTGATGCGTCATAAGTCTGAAGCTTTTGGAAAATTCCAAGAGTTCAAGGCTGAGGCAGAAAAACATCTTGGTGTTCAAATTAAGACTCTTCGGTCTGATCGAGGGGGTGAATACCTATCTGGAGAGTTCAGGTCTTACCTGACCCAAGAGGGGATAGTTTCACAATTATCTTCTCCAGGGACACCCCAGCAGAATGGAGTCGCTGAAAGGAGAAATAGAACCCTTTTAGAGATGGCAAGATCGATGCTCAGTTATTCACCTTTGCCTGATTCATTCTGGGGATATGCCTTAGAAACTGCTATGTACCTTTTGAACTTGGCTCCATCAAAATCTGTTCTAAAGACTCCAATAGAATTATGGAAAGGGTGTAAGCCCAGCTTGAACCATATTCGGATTTGGGGTGCTCCGACACATGTCTTACAACAGAAGCCAAATAAGATGGACTCTCGTACAGAAGTGTGCATGTTTATAGGCTATCCTAAAGGAACCAGAGGCTGGTTATTTTATAGTCCGAAAGAAAAGAAGGTTTTAGTGAGTACACATGCGACTTTCTTAGAGGAGGACTATATGGAAAATCACAAGCCGAGGAGTACGGTTATACTTGATGAGCTAGACTCGGATCAAGTTTCGCCTCAACCTCAAGGGGTTCCAGCTTTTATTCCTGTATTTGTTCAAAGAGGGGAAAATATGCCTGTAGTTGAACATACGCAGGAACCAGAGACAGAACCAGAAGTTCAGCATGATAATCAACAAGTGGAGTTACCACTTGTAGAAGAACAAAATCATGAAATGGTTTATCCAGAAATAAATGAGGGTCCTCCTCAAATTGTTAACCCACCAGACTTGAATCATCCTGTAGATGCTCAGCAACAAGTGCAGCACAGTCGTAGTGGGAGATTGATTCGTAAACCAGCAAGATATCTCTTGTTGGGTGAATCGAGTCAGGATGTCATCATTGAGAATGATGATGATCCCACTAGTTATGACAAGGCA